ATCAAATATTCTAGAACATTCTTGGAGCTTCTATTTATGTAACATTGCATTATCATTGTGACATCGTTGCAGGCGACTTACTTCTTTGGTTACGTGGAAACTTTAACGATTCCTTCAGATCGATCGGGAAAGATCACCATTTGTTTTGGGTTCGTGTTAGGGTTAGGTTTAGGGTTTAGTGTCTGTATCAACTGTGCGAGGGTGAAATGACGCCGTCCGGGCCGGAAGTAAAATGGAATGCGTAGAGCTTTGTAATTTTCATTTCTGCTGCGCATTCATTTTTTGTCAGCCAATGAAAAAATTCGAATTTTTTGNGGTGCGTCCAGACATTTTAAGACGAGTAGCACTGGGGACGAGAATGACCTTAACTGAACTAAATTTATTCAGTCGGGTCCATTCAGGTACATTCAAGTGAATCTAGCAAATGAAGAGGGGACAACGTTACGCGAATAAATGGTGGGACAAGAATACTTAGCTTCTTATTGTCGATTATAGAACGTATTCGTGCTGTGAAGAATGGCTTTCCGGCGAATTCCAGTTAGTGTCGCAAGGAGAGTCTTTATCAAGCGACGTTTTACCTTTGGTGTAGTGTTTGCAAGCTTACCGTTCTTAGCATACCTTCTGATATTTGGACGTTCTATTTCGGTGCCTGGTAAAATACTGTCGACGAACGTTGTATGTGAATGCCCATGCGAAACTAAGCAACAAACTCAAAATAGCACTTTAAAACAGCAAACAGAAGCGATCGTGACATCCATAGCAGGCGAACGAAAACTCGAACACGATTCCGCGAAATCCACCGGAAGTTTGAATGCTCACGTGTGGTATGGAATATGTGGAACGAACGTGGATATTTTGAGAAACTGGCCTCATTTTCCTTACCTTCCAGAGAAGCGTTCTTTTGTTTCGGAATTTCGTAAAACTCAAGTTTTGAATATGAAAGACCACGGAGAAAGGATTTTTGGATTTGTTCATCCGCAGTTAAGCGGCATGTATAAGTTTGCCATCACATCAGATGACACATCAGAGTTGTGGCTGAGTAGAAATGAAGATCCCGCTTCAAGCGAGATGATCGCACGGGTTTATTCGCCTCATGAATCGGCCTGGACTGTAGAAGGAGACTACAAGAAATATCCTGAGCAAATTTCTAAAGAAATCCTTCTTCACGCCGGCAAGAAATATTACATCGAGTCTCTGAGTAAGCAAGGTTCTGGCGCCGCTCATGTTGCTGTATTTTGGTCTTACGGGGATTCAATATTTGAAATTATTTCCTCCAAGTACCTGTCGAGTGTTTATGAGAATGACAATCAAGAATCAATTCCCCCACACGCGGGTAAACAATCGAAGATTACGCTTCGAAACGAGAGCAATTTATATTATTTTAATCGTCTGCCGTTCATAAGCAGGCAAGAATACATAAACCTCATTCCAACCTGTTCATACAACCCGAGCTTTTTGGTGCGTGGAAAGCTCAAACGATACCAGGGCGTTTGGCGAACACATGTGTCACAGGTATTCCCACCAGATGATACCGACATGTACAAGAATATATCTTGGAAACATGACTGGAAGAAACCTAATACTTTTGCTGAAAAGGTCAGAGTGGAATCTGTTGTAGACAAGATGATGAATTGTTTACGTTCAAGGTAGGTGAAGCTAGCCAGCGAACACGGCTGCCTCAAGACATATGTGCTGAATGGTGGCTTAATTCGCAGAATATTTTCCAAGAGGCTGTAGCAATGTTTTGCCAAGGTCGTTTGGGGAGTCATTTGTGGCAAAAATACAAAATCGCCAGAGTTTAACCTCAATCGTTACTGCTGACAACAAACCCACCGGCAACGTTATTGTCAACACTAAAAACTGAGGTTAAACTAAACTCTAGCGATTTGTATTTTTGGCGCAAATGTCTCCTAACCTTTTACTTTACAGCGGTGATCATTCACATGATCGAGGGCCTGATTACATACATGGCGAATTTCAGCCCGGGCTGAAATTTCAGCCTCGGCGCCAAATATGAAATTGTGTGCGAAAAGTCTCCAGAGAATCAAAATGGCGCCGAGAACACAAATCGTGAAAATAGGCGCATTGCTTCTCTCGTAGTTCGACCTTTTGTTGGCGCTCAATTCTTAACGTTTTGGAATAGTAACACCCTACAATGATGATGGAACTGAAACGAAACCTGCCTCTCAGCCAGAAAGACGTACTTTCATAGAAAGAAAATATGTCCTTAAGCTTGCCGAGTTCATGGCTTCCCTGACAGCCTCGTTCTGTTTAACCTTGTCTCGATGTTCTTATATTCCGTCTAAGCTTTGAAATTAGAGAGATTCTCTATTTTATCGCCTTTATTCCACTGAGATCGCTTCTACTTCGTAGCGGCAGCCATCTTATTTCCTGCTTTTCAGCCCGGACTGAAATTCCGTTTCGATTACATGGGATTTTTTCAGACTTCTCAGTCCGTTTGCCCGGGCTAAAAATCCTAGCCCGGTTTTTTCAAAGCGGGCTACGATTTTCAGCCCGGGCTGAATTGCGACCCGGGCTGAATCCTTCTTCATGTAATCGCCAATTTGATTTCATGAGAATTTGTTTCAGAAGCCGGGCTGAAATTTCACCCCGGCTGAAATTCGCCATGTAATCAGGCCCTGACACGCGACCTTCAGAGAAAAAAGTCTAGAAGGAAAGTTGAGTTTCATCTCTGCCTCCTGTCCCTGCCAGTCCTCTGATGTATAAACTCTCAAGAATATTTTGAAATATTTAAATCCCGTCTTTGAAGCTTGTGGTTTCAATGCCTATCACGCGAACTCTAGGTGTTGATACATCCTGTTCCTTATATCGAGCTTTGCACCTACAAAAAGAGACCACTGAGTCTATGGCGTTCCAAATTATACTCGACTGTCGCTTTTATGCTCATTATTAAGCCGCAATTTGTTTTTCCTACCCCCCTCTTTCGCATCAAACAAACGTAATTTCATTATATCTTGGTAACACAAAAGTGCAAACAAGTTCTGAAATAATCGAATTGAGACAAACATCAAACATTGCCAAAGACAAAAGAATGCAATATTTAATATTCAATAGCCCATGAGGCGAAGCCGAATGGGCTATTGACCCGTGGCCCTTGAGGGCGAAGGGTCTAATTTTTTTAGTATCACCCAACTAGTTGGACAGAAAAGACAATAATAAAGTTAGCAAATGCAAAGTTGAAGCAAATGCAAGTTGAAGAAATATTTATCTGGGAATAAAACGAAAGAAAGCGTCACGCTCGATTGCGCCAAT